GAATGCAAATATTGTTAACTATTTCACTGCCGATTTCTTTTTAGCAGAAACATCTAGTCATTCCCCAGCTGTCAGGAATCCCTCCCTGGGTGCCAAAAGCCCCATCTGTATCTTATCCAGCTGCCAAAACCTCCAGGACCCCAATGCAGATCTGACCTTTCAATACCAAAATGCCAAGCTTGTTCCAGTGTAAACATTTGGGGGCAGTATAAAATAAGTGGAAGTTCATATCGAGATACCTAACACAGGGACTGTACCTAAATACAGTTCTGAATCGATCATTCATTTTCATAAATAATTCAGCACAACCTTCCAGTTAAGCATTGATCTGCCGCTGCAACACAATCTCCAGGCTGTGGCACTCGAGTGCTGTGAGATCCAAGAGGATGGATCCAGAGTGTAGGTCAGTTTGCCCTAGGATACTCAAAGCCTGGACAGTTATGTCACCCCACCCCAGCTGCCTTGTTGGTAAGATCAGGAAAATAACCATCTCCATATGATCCATGCAGGTATGGCTATAATGACATCGTCACCATCCCTGCCGGAGCTACGAACATTGACATCAAGCAGCGCAGCCATCGAGGAGTCAGGCACGATGGGAACTACTTGGCTTTGAGGACTCTCGACGGCCACTACCTCCTGAATGGAGAGTTTGCCATTTCAGCCATGGAGCAGGACATTCTGATCAAGGGGACAATCCTGAAGTACAGTGGCTCCATGACTACCCTGGAACGGCTCCAGAGCTTCCAGGCGCTCCCAGAATCCCTCACGGTCCAGCTGCTCACCATCACCGGCGAGGTCTTCCCACCCAAGGTAAAGTACACCTTCTTCATCCCCAAGGAAGTCCCCTTCAACAAGCAGAAGGACAAGGAGAAGAAGTCAGCCAATATCATCCAGCCAATGCTGACCTCGCAGTGGGTCATGGGGGACTGGTCTGAATGCTCTAAAACCTGCGGCTCCGGCTGGCAGAGGCGGACAGTGGACTGCCGGGACATGGAGGGCCAGACCTCGACCACCTGTGACAGGGCCCTGAAGCCGGAGGATATCAAGCCCTGCGGCGACCTCCCGTGCCCCATTTGGCGGCTGGGTCCCTGGTCCGCGTGCTCCCGAACTTGCGGCGAGGGAGCGAGGACACGCAGCGCCTCCTGCCTGGACTACACAGGGAAGATCACGGCCCCTGAGAAATGCAGCTTGCCACCACCCGCAGAACCCACCGCAGCCTGCCTGCTGCAAGAGTGCTGAGCCAGCGCCAGGCCGGTGTGTCAGAGGCACATAACATAGGCAACTACTAACCAGACTAGACCTGGCTCAGCAGCCGGAGCAGGAACATAGGTTTAAAGGCGGACGTGCACTAATTGACCTGAGCAGGCCCCCGAGGCAGCCCTGCTTGAAAGACTAACAGACATTCAAAACAATCCCTTCCCCACCTGACAGCCATCTACCTCAGAGGGGGACAAGAGCAGCATGGGAGCGGGGAGGAGACGCTGGGTGTTTTTTCTGGCCAGCAGCAGGGGAATTTTACCCCAAGAAGCAAAAATTCATGTCCTAATCTGTTTCCAAAGAGGATGGCCTGAGTTTCAGTCCCACCCACCTGGCCTTGTGAGTCTGACAGTGAGGACCTCATCATCACGATGGACTATACGCTGACCATCAGACTGATACCCAGGGCCGCCAAGGGCTGGGGTGGGGAAGGGGCTTCCATGCTCAAAGGTGACGCCATGGAAGTCTTTTTTTAAAAACCATGTATTGGATGGAGGGTCTGATCATCAGACAGTTTTCTCAATAGCTCTATAATGGCTGTGGGATCAGAAGCCTTAGCCATGAGCTCACATTCTTCCTACCAGTTTGAGCTGGGTTCGAGACCACCCAGAGGTGTAAGCTGCCAAGCTGGGATCTCGATTCCATCCCAGCCACATTTCAGTGGTGCTTGGTCTGGGACTTGGGTTCAGCACATTAGAAAACAGGGCATTTTTGCCAAAAGCTGGAGCTAGGGTCAGATTTCCATCCCCCCTATGCCATGTTCCAGGCCATCTCTCTTCTTAGCTGCTCACATAAATGCAATGAAAACCCAATTCAAGGTCAGCCTGTACATGCAAATCCAGCTTTGTACATTTGTACCTGAATCTGACCCGCTTGTCTCTCTCTGTCAGCTCACCCAGAAAACCAATGGCCTCTGACATGAGTGGTCTGAGCGTGGGACTGAGATCCAGCTGCTCCTGAGCTCTAATACAGTCGAAGACACACCTCCCTTCTGTGGCCTTAGACAAGTCATTTGATCTCTTTCTCTCTCTCTCTCTCTCTATCTGTGCCTCAGTTTTCCTAGCTGTAATATGGAGCTTATACCTGACCTGATTCCCAGGGTGTTTGCTGTGAGTAAGAGCTAACATTTGTACATGGCTTTGAAGGTGACAGCTTTTTGCATGACATGGGCTACACCCTGTCTTCTCACCAAGCTTGAGTAGGGGCTGCCATATCCTTCCCCAGAAAAGTCCTCCTTAGCTTTGCATCCATCGAGTATTTGACAAGTTGTGTTTTGGGGTCAGGTCATTTGCCATTCAGGGGTCAAACCAGAATTACAGTAGAACGCTGAACACTAATTGGGTCCAACCACTGTGTGGTCACGAAAACATGCAGTGGATTGATAACCTCCCAAAACAACTGAAAATACACTATAACCAAGCGATATTACATTGTAAAGTCCCTTGTTAACCATGTTACTGTAACTTGACTGAAGTGAGTTGTTTTGCCTTCAGCATGGAAGAGGATACAATGTGGAGGATGGAGATGTTTCAGGTTTTGATTAACCCTTATCCTGTGACATCACCTGGCCACATGCATTTGGCTGGACATGCAGTGGATTGGACTGTGCCTGTTCTGCGCTCTACTGTACCTGCGGGAAGTCAGGCTAGATGATCACAGAGGCCCCTTCCGGTTTCATCATCTTCAGTTGTACAGATCCACGGGTCAGGCTGCAAACACCCCCAGAATTCAGGCGTGCAGAGCTCTGGCCTTTGGGTCAACCCACCGTGCAGACAGAGTATGTTTGCTAACGTCAGGTCTGGGCCTGGATTCCTGCCTGTACAGTATTTGAGGGGGTCCAGATCTGGGGCTTTGGCTCAGGATATTCACAGGTCTTTCCAGCTTGCAGTCATCCTCCCCTCCCTGTAGCCAATTATCATCCTCCATGTGGTTCCCTGCTGCTGAGCAGTCCTGACAAGGAGATCTAACACCCCTGCTCCCAAGGCTGGAATCTTTCCTTCCCTGCAAGGATTGCTGCCAGAGCGGAGTAGAACAGCCAAGCTTTCTGCCTGCAACCCAGACACTGTCTGGTCATTGCAGACACCTGGCCAGTCACTGAACTTTGCCCCTTTTGCTACATGTGCACTGAGGCTCATCCGGCCTGGCAGCAGCCTGCATCTCTGGGGCGGGGAGGATTTGCAAATTTCCTTGTCATCAGTGTCTTGGTAATAGAGGATCTGTGTGTTATCAAGAGGCTCCCTTCTTCCTACCCCTTTCTGGGAGCCTTTTGGACACATCTTTCTCCTTTCTGATGGTCATACACAGCCTCCCTCCTGCACAGCTTCCACATCACTGCTGGAAGTAAGCCCTTGAAAACTAAAGGGACATCTGTCTGTCTGTCTCATATCTATCTTTCTCCAGTTAGGGCTGAAACACTGATTGCACCATAATGTCCTTTCATCACGGTGATCTATGGCGGGGGGAAGAGGTCGTGGTGGTTGTCAGACTTATTGCTAGTTTATTCCCCTCTATTGTAATCCTAGGTTTTCCTAAAGAAAACGGTTTGGGCTGCATGTTTAGGGAAGGGAGTGCCGGCATTTCTCCACCAGAGGAGTGTTAACAGAGTGCTAGGTGCCAGGCCCACCAGGCTGTTTTGTAAGTGGGAAAAGTCATTTCAGTTTTCTGCTCCCAAGTTTCCCGTCTCTAAAAGAGAGGCCTGTTGGAATCCATTAGTTAATGCTTACGATGCGCTTTGAGATCCTGGAATGGGAAATACTGAAGTGTAGAAGGGCACAGCATTGTTGTAGGAGGAGACCAGTGGGAGAAGTTGATTTAGCTACAGCTGTCGGCACAGGGGGCTGTGCTGTGTGGGTGGGCGGCTGCAGGGGTCTTGGGAGATGCACTTTTTAAAATCGTTAGCGCAGGAATCGACTCCCACAGCTTTGACTAGCTGGTGCTCCTGGGGCCGTAACTGTGGAATGTGGTCTGGCAACCTCATCAAGGTTGTGCCCCGAGAAAGGGTCTGCAGCAGGGTCACGCTATTTCCTGAAGTCTCTGACCTTTCCAACACAGGCTGTTGCATGAGCTAGCTACCGGGGGGCTCCCAGGCTTTCCCACTGTTCTCCCCAGGTGCGTATTCACATTTCACTAGCTCTGGAGGGTAGAGCCTGTCCTGGGTCCTTTTCAACTGACACCCCTCAAAGGGAAAAAGGAACAGGGATAAATCCTTGCACCTCGCTACAGGGTTTGGGCAGTGAGAAAGAAGCCAAGAAATAAAGAGGGCAGCACCATATTTAATCTGAGGGTTAACTGCAATAGGAGAATCCCTAAAGCAAACAGTTGGGTATTCAGCTAGAGATTAGAGCGTGCTTTTAAGAAATCTCTATCCATCCATTCACCTGTCCTGTAAGGCTGTGGTTAAACCTCCTGGCTTTGAATATCTCAGCCAGCGCTTCACTCGCTAGGCTGAGCCAAAGGTCCCAGATTCGAATGCTCTTGACTTAGGAATCAAATTGATTCTTTGCCTCTGAAGATTTTGGCCACTGAAACTGAGGTTTGCTCACTTCTGAATGTCCTTAGAAATCCTTGGAAGTCCTTCTTAGTTCCTTCCAGGAAGTAGCAGCTTGTGCATTTCCCCACTTCCCTTCACTGATCTGAAAATAGGTATGAAAAATAGGTCATGAACATAATTGCAGCACCGTCCTCTCCCCAGTGTTGTTCTGCCAGCATGTTACACAACATCTGAAGCAGGTGGCCCTGTGCTATTGATCCCAATCAGGGCCCCAAACTGTCCAAAAGCTCAGTGGATCGGGGAACCAGAATCTTGCTGCAGCCTTTTAATAGTGTTGCAGGCCAGCTGTTATGCATGGGCCCACTGTTGAACTCCCTCAGAGTCTGGGTTCAGTTTAGGCCTATCTGTAATGAATAGACCCTGCATGCTGCCCTGTCTCCAGGAATTCAAACCAGATGGCATGCTCCAGCAAAACGTGGATGCTAAAGTCATTCTCTTGTTTTGCTATTTTTTATGCTTACGTGTTTGAATGTTTTTAACCCCAAAGCAACACGATGTCTTCTCTCCAAGGCTGCAAGTGGTGCCCATTTAGGGCAGGTCAGAAAGTTGGGCCTGTGAGTTGCCTGAGACAGTGCCAAGGAAAACGCATGCACTAACAAGGCTTTCACTGAAGTCAAAGAGGCAGGGTACAGCTCTTCAGCTAGAACATCTCATGTGCAAATAAACCCTGTTACAGGCAGATCCCAACCAGGATGACATTGTTGTTAGTCCTCAGATTGTCTTCTTGTACTCTCTTACTCCTAACAACACACCCAAGGAAACTGGCCCTGAGTGGGCATGGTACTAAAGCCTGTGCCATGCATGAACATGGGAGTAGGTCCCTGACATCATTGCTAAGTATGTGTAGAAGTGCTGTGCTGGGATTGTGTCATCTGAGAGGAAAAATGAATCCGCGGCATCTACAAACCTAGCGAAGAACTGCCCTGGCACCGGGTATAGTACCACTACCAAGCAACATTAGCCCCTGAGCCAGCAGTAGCATAACAGCAGGCCCTCGCTCCAGTGCTGTTGTACTATACGTCTTCGGTGCCAGCCAGGATCTCTAAGCTTGAAGTGGGAATTCTTCCCAGCAGCTGCACTGCTGCTACTGAGGGTTAGCAGCTTAACGCCCGCACATGGGGGCCAGCGCTGACCTCTGAAAAGGAAAGGTGACAAGGGCAGGAAAGGCCAGCGCTGACCTCTGAAAAGGAAAGGTGATTAGGGCAGGAACCCTGCCAGTTCCCCATTTGCACCAGCATCAATCCCTGCAGAAAGGGCACCTTCTATTTTAAGAAGACCACTTTGATCTCTCCTTCTCACTCTTCCAGTGACTGTAGATACTAGAGATTGGCCCAAACCATGAAGCTTGAATCAGGGCTTCTTCAGAAAGCATCTGGATCCAGGGTGTCGGGGCCCAATTCTCCTATGTACAAGTCTTGGGGAGACAATTGTATTGGAAGTCCTGACCTATCCTTCTAGAAACATGTAGCAGTTATGCTGATGTAAGTCAAGTAACTTATATATAGGATATATATACATGTATATACGGTATATGTTTCCCTTCAGTGAAGGATTGTATCAATGTACTGAGCCTCTTGTTTAAGGTATTTATTATAAAGTGTTGTTTTGTTTTGTATAGTAGCTGTTCGGAAACAAGGTGTGACCGTCTGTGTTTTAACATGCTGCTCCCCTTCTCCCTGGCCTCACTCCTCCATCCGCTGCGGTATAACAGGGAAGAAAATCTCACTTATCTTCCTAATGCTTTGGACTGGCATTTCAGTGCATTGGTGTGCAAATCAGGAAACGATTCTCCATCGTCACCATCAGAACAACCCCACCAAAATAATCTTTCTAATGTTATTTAAAGACTTCACTTTCCTGTTTTATCCTTTTGTCGTCATTTTTTTTTAAACCTTTGGAAACAGATAGTCCAAATGTAACGCTAGCCTTTATCTCTTAATAAAGGACTTCCTGGCTATGACTGCTTTGTCAGCTTTTTTTCCCCCACTGTTTGTATTTGGTTTCCTTAATCCTTCCCTGGGTGCATATTAGATGTTTGCGCACTGAGCGTTATTTCTGCTCCTCGTTTCTCAGATTTTATTTAGGGTTCCTAAGAAGTGGCCACGTGGGCTTTTAAAAAACAAAGCAAAATACGTTGTTATGGGACCAGCAATAACTGGGGGGAAATATTCCGCAAAAATCCTGCAGTTATTTCCAATAGACAACTTTCTCTTGGGCAGCTCTGGGACTCTGTGGAGTTCGGTGCCTCGTCAGAGCTACTGGAAGGAAGTGTGGCTGGATGGTCACAGTGCAGGGACTGCTGGGTTCATGTAACCATGCCATCTAAATGAGTTACTCCAGTTTTATACTGGTGTCACAGACAGCAGAAGTTGGCTCAACTGTTATTAATATACCATTGCCCTCTAAAATACAGGACCTTTCAAATATAGCATGTCTGAAGTTTATATTAGGTGGCCATGTTATATGGGTAACATGAATATATCGACTAGCAGCCTGCTGTTACTATATACTTCTTCGCTTTTGCAAAGCATGTGCCACCTCTGCTCCCCCTGGAGCCCTTAAATTATATAGACCCTGATTCAGACCATTCAACATTAAGCACGTGCTCCATTGTTCTACTGAACTAGGGCCTTTGGTTATGCCTACTATACAGTTACACTTTAGCATACAGATAACCATGCTAGCTTTCAATTAGCTAGTTTGGGTACCAGTGGCAGTGAAGTAGCATGGAGCTTGGCATGGGCTGCAAAACCTGCCCAAATAGCAGAGTATATTCATCCATTCTGAGCTCACAGCAACTCTTCCGCTTGCATCTGTGAGAGCTAACTTGCAGCTAGTTTGGGGATGTCTGTGACTACGGTGCAGACAGCATTATATTCGCACAGAGCTGGCAGTATATAACAGATGTGCCTGCCTGTTACATATCATCTTGAAATGTGTGCCCCTAATCCCAGGGTAGCTGATACATATTCAAATCCCAACACTACTAAAAATTAACAAAATGTAATGGGGTTACTACAGATTTGCCATGTGTTAGAGCAGTACCCAGCCTGCTATCCAGCCTATGTACACTTGGACATTCCTAATTACGTGCTTGGACCACTTGACCATTGCTCCTGCAGCGTGTGCTGTCACCAGAAGCCCTCATTAAAGCACAGCCTCATATCACAGAGTGCCCCTGGCACGGTTTATTTTCTGTGTATTACACGGTCGCTTATCTATTATTCTATTTATATATGCAGCCCCTGCCTTGGGGATGGCTGACATGCCATTCGTGGTAGGGAAAATAAAACGAGCACATACAATACATTGAAGCATGCATCTTCCTAAAGACCTTTGGGTTGCAAGACTGTAACTCAGGGGGCATAAAAAAGCCTGGGACTGAAATCCCAAAGTGAATTTAAATAGCAAATTCTGCTCTCAAGGCACACTGTGCATTGGCAAAGTGGCTTCTTTGCATCATTATCACTAACAGTGTCTCTGCTGATGAAGTTCCTGTTCCAAGACCTGTCAGGAGGTGTGGGGAGGGCACAGAAGCAGGGTTTCCCAGCCTTGCAGTTAGTGCAGCTCAAGACATACAGTCCAAATATTGTTTTCAGCCCCCTTGATGCTCCCTTGGGGGTGAAGCTGCATCATGCAGGAATGCAGGTGCAGATTACTCATTGGATGCCCATGGCTGCAAAGGGCTCTTGTCCCAGTAAAGGAGCACCCTGGCATATGGAGGCACTGGCTCAGCTTCTTCTCTCCCAAACCTGGCCCAAAGTACTTGCTGGTTGGAGGAGCTAGTGCAGGAAGAGCTCAGCCAGGGTGCTGGTACACACAAAGCAGCTGGAATGCACCCAGGGATCAGGACAAGCCAAATGGCTGAGGGCATTGATGCCATTAGTAGTCGCCTGTGATAGACCCCACAGGACACGTCTGCTGCAGACCTCAGTGCAGCAGCACACAGCTGTGTGGGTTGAATTATCCTGCATCTCCATGCTAGATGGCTTCCAGTGCCTGCACTGCCTCATTCAAAGCTTGCTGGGGTATCTTCACCCTGCATTGAGTGGGCAGCATAGACCTGCTCTCAGCCAGGCAACTCTGTTATCATATCAGGAGTGACAGTGTTATAGGCTGGGGGAAGTCACAGGTTAGCGCACCAGAGAAGGCAAAAGTGATGCATTGATCACAGCGGAGAGATGAGGAAAAGGGATATGCCAATGGTACCAGGTTTGTTTTCACATTGATTGGATTCAGCCCTGAGTTATGGTGTGGAGTGGACCCCTAGATGCACTCTAATCTCTTAGGGCCAAATCCTGACCCCACTAAAAAGCAGAGCTTCCACTTGCTTGACTGGGCTTTGGCACTTGGGCACTTTCCAAAGGCTCTTTAGACACTTGGAGCCAGTCCCTCCTCATGTGCTGAGCAGGGATGGGAAGGGAAATGCTTCAGCATCTCTTGGCGCACACAGCGTCTACACTTCTTATGCAGACCCCCCTCAGTCCAGCTCCTGGCTTGAGCAATGGAGTTTCATCGCTTCTGTTGTACTTGGCGTTACCCATGAACTTGAAT